GGCCGCGTGGTCCCCGCAGCCCCCGCGCCCACCTGCCGCCGCCGCGCACGGCCGGGTACGTGGCAGGGGCCGCCGCTCGCCCGCCTCGCCTCTGCTCGCGCCTCGCGGGCGGCTCCGGGGCGCGGGACTTCGGCGCCAGGCGCCCTCTGCCGCCGGGAAGCCGAATCCTGCTCCCTAACCCTAACGCGGGGCCGGGCCACGCGGCGCCCTGCGCCCTGCGGACCGGGCCGCCTAGCCCGCCGGATGAGGAGACCCACGCGTCGCGGTCAGGCCCAGGAGGCAGCCAGGCCTGAAGCACCCTGAGTCAATGAACCAGTAAATGGGAGGTGGAGGTTGAGTTGCAAAAGCGAAGTGCTTTCTTGCGTGCTCATCTGCCAACAGGCCAGGTACACTCAGATGCGCCTCCGCCATTGTTGAGGGGAAAAGGGAAGGTTTAGGGTCCCCGTTTCTTGAGAATGGGTATTAGGTTCTACATAGCGAGGCTGAGCCTACCCTGTCAAGCGGGCTGTGACCAGAAGCACTGGCTTCCTCCCGTGGTCACCCTTGAAGAACTGTGTTCAGGTAGCCCTTGGGTACATTTGTATCTGGCGCAGGATAGAGCGCAGGTTCGTATCTAATGGTGGAAAATTGTGCTGTGACCTGTGACTGGGGTTTATGAGGAAGCAAAATACAATCACAGACCTCCTCCCCCTCCTAGCCAAGTAGACTTTCACACCTCAAGGGGATGTTCCGACCTAGGTTTGTTTATTGTAAATTACACATGTTCCGCTTGTCATAATCATAAATAAAATGGGATTCCTTGCCCTTTATCAGTATTAAATCTCCTTAAGGCCCTAAGCTAAATGTTATTAAGGACTTTTAGCCAAACACATTTGGATTTTAAATCAACCACTTAAAAGTTGAGAAGTCTTAGGAAAGCTAATCTCCTTTTGCCGAAAATGAGCTCATCCATAAGAGTCATAAAACCTACTTCCTGGTATAGTTGTAAAACCTACTTGCCGGTGTTATGGTTTGAAGATATACAGAGATCATATACAGGGCTTAGCACAGCCCTGCCTGGTGCTTATTTGTATTATTACTGGTCTGGTGCAGGATGAAAATACACATATTGTAAGAAGATTACTTTGGGGTCTAACGAGATCACTCAGTAAAGTACCTACCACCCAAGCATTAGGACCTAAGTTCAGATTCCTGCGCCCCCATAAAAGCTGGGCATAGCACCGTGTACGTTCGAGTGTATGTAAAATCCCAGGGGAGACATTCACATCCCTGGAGCTTTCTGACTAACCAGCCACCCAGCCTAGCCAAAAGGCTGAGCTCCAGGTTCCAAGGGAAACCGTATCTAAAAAACAAAATGCATGGAACCATAGAGGAGAGACAGTTGATCTCCACACGCACATGTTCCTTCAGGCACTGATGGATACACACAGAAAAAAATAAAGGCTATTTTTAAGGTTTATTTTGTTTACATGTATGTATGTGAGCAAAAGGAGCCCACAGGAGGTTATGAGCCACCTTGTGGGTGCTGGGAATAAAACTCAAGTCCTACAGGAGGTTATGAGCCACCTTGTGGGCACTGGGAATAAAACTCAAGTAGCAAGTGCTCTTCTGTGCTCTCTCTCTCTAGTTCCTAAGGCGGCTATTTTTTTTTTCACTTGGGAACAACCTTAAGACCCCAGGCAGTGGCTCTGTCACCTGACCAGCAAAGTCAACCTTGGAAACCAGGCCCTTTCTGTCCCTCCTCCCCTGAGTCTTGGTAGCACACTGATTTGTCAAGAGCCGAGGCTCTTGCACTGGTTTTCTCCGGAGCTTCTGGGACCAGTCATTTAAGAAGGAATGGCCCAGTCTATGAAGCAATCTCCAGAGCACACAACCGTTTCATAAAGGCACAGTCTAGTTAGCAAGCACATAGGGAACATCTAGTTAGTGTTGTGGGTCTTAGATTTAGAGGCATAATTGTGTGAGTGAAGTAAAGTTCTTGTCCTCAAGTTTGAGCTCTGGTGGATGAGACACACACAGATGTCCTCCATGTAGGGCAGAGGGCCACAGTCATGCAGCTCCACTTGCAAGCTGTAAGCCTCAGGGTCCGGTCTGCAGCACTTTTCTCTTTGGCACTTTCCCCCTAAACATGATGTACATAACTTCCCAAGGCTGCTGTATCTTTATGAGGCATTGGAGAAATATCCCCTTAATGAGGTGATTCCAAAGTTTCTTTACCTTGGGTAAGTACTTGTTTTGCATCTTAGTGAAAGGGCCCTCATTTACATGTTAAGAGTTGCAGATTTCCAAAGGTCAAGAGCCACTCCCCACAACCTCTCTGCTGACTTGAAGGAAGCAGGCTCACTCTGAAATGGCTCCCTCCCATACTCCATGACTCACTTTGACCTGTGGGTATATTATGAGATCTTGTGAGCTGAGTATTGACCCTTGCTCCCTGTTCTTTGGGGTGTTGCCTTAAGATTTCCACAAAGAACCTCTACACATAGGAGAGACCCAAGGAAAGAAAAGCTTAGCAGCACAGCCAAGTCCTGCCTGAGTGAGTCCTGGGCAGAGCCAGCCACAAGTAACCCAGGGTTTCAAACCTAAAATGGTACTGGCTTTAAGTCACTGAGCATTTGGAATGGTTCTTACATGACAATAGATAATAGAGACACCCACCCTTCCTGGTAAGCATTTCTACTGTTACTGTCTTGTCAAAATTCAACCAAGGATCAGTCTCCAGCTAGTGTTTTCTGTCATGAAGGATTCAGCTGAAGTCTGTGTCTGAGCTTAGCCGAGCATCGCATTTTATGTAAATGCCTCTCCCAGAGTCCTTCATTGAATTGGTTCATCACTGAGCCTAGCAGTTTAAAATTCTTTTGCTGCCAGTTTGACAAGGGGCTGGCAAGGTCAGCTTGTAAGCTATCATGCTTTAAGCCTGACTGGAATGCCAACAGTAGGTGTCATGGAGGTTGAGTGTGTTTATTTCTCCCCCTAGATAGTAAGCTCCTTAAAGATGGGGGGTGGGGGGGAGGGACACGGACAGACACACCTGTGTGATCATGTGTTTGTGTATTGTGGTTTGTGTGCGTGCGTGGTACATGTGGAGGTCATATAACTTCCTTGGGTGCCTGTCTCTGCCTTCAACCAATTTGAGAATGGGTCTCTTGTTTACTGATGCCTATACCAGGCTAGCTGACCTGTGAACTTCTGGCAGTTCTGCCTTTGCCTCCATCTCCCAAGAGGGGGCATTGCTGGGAATGCAGATGCACTATTGCATCTGGCTCTTTATACAGGTTCCAGGGATAGAATTCAGGTAATGAGACCTATGCAGCAAGCGCTTTACTCAGTGTGTCACCATCCCAGCCCATGACAAGACTGACAGATCAACATTTCAGAGTCAAGAACAAGTAGGATCCTTGAAACCAGCACCTCATTTTGTCACGAAGAAACACCTAGGCAGATTAGAACCTGTCCGGGTCTGAAGCTGGCTCAAAGCAGACTATTTTGCATTCCTGAATTCTTCTGGTTTCCCTTTTTGACATTTGCTGCAATTTAAAATATTCTTCCTGGGGCTGGAGAGGTGGCTTAAGTGGTTAAGAGCACTTGCTGCTCTTGCAGAGGACCCAAGGTCAGTTCCCAGCCCTCAGATCAAGCAAGTCATAACTGCTTGTAACTCTAACTGTAGACTGGCTTCCCAGGGAACCCACACACACATAGCATACATTCACACACACACACACACACACAGACACACACACACACTTAAAAATAAAAACACATTTTTAAATACATAAATGATCTTGGGCAATATTTTGGGCAATCTAAGGGATAGGGTAGACAAGATCACCAAAAATAAAAATAAAAGCTGGTGCACAGGTAGATTGCCCACAGTCCTAGTTTCAGGAGGGCCAAGAGCTAGAATCTCTCAGCAATTCTGGGAGGACAAACAGAAGCCTCACCAAGACTCAGTTACTAAAACAGTGGCTGGTTTTCTTCTGTACCTTTTACTCTACATTCCAAGCCCTAGAAGAAAAGCAGCTTGAACTCCTCTGGTCAAGAGCCCTCCCTCAGCCAAATAAACACTCTTAGGGAACTCTGAGCTAAGAGGGAGAAAGGTCCAGCTTCTTGTTTTGAAAAGGTGTGTGAGGGTGAAAGTTGTCACAGAGAGCACATTCAGCGAAACTCAGAAAGACAAGTGTTCTTTCTCTAGTGTGGGTCTGAACTGTTATATGTATGCCTATAACTCTCTCTCTCTCTCTCTCTCTCTCTCTCTCTGCGTGTGTGTGTGTGTGTGTGTGTGTGTGTGTGTGTGTGTGTGTGTAGTATGAATGTAGACATGAGACGGGGAAAGGGAAGGGGCCCGTGGGACACTTGATGGAAATACCACCACTCACCACTATGTACAATATACAGTTAGAAGGAAAAGTCAGATTGCTTTAAGCCCCTGTGTGTCTGCATTTCCACCAGCTAGCCTGTTTGCTCCATGCACTTTGCTGGAATCCAAGTCCCACAAAGAAAACTAATGTATCTATCAAGTAGTGTAATAAAAACCTCTTTTTTTCCTCACAGTAATATCATATAATTTTTTTCACAAAGACTTTGAACAAAATTATACCTACTCCATTGCACAGCAAAGGGTACACTTGACTATTTTCACAGAGCTGTTAGACCCCTTATAAGGAAACAATGTAAGGTCTCTGCTTTCATCTGTGCGGAGGACTAGATGGAGCCCAGATGAACTGTCCAGCAGATCCCTTCAAGCTCACCGGCCCTAGCCTCCTGGAGGACATCATCAGCTAAGAGATGGCAAGCAGTTCCCACCCCTCGTGTCCCAGGATTGCCTCCAGCCTCGGCCTCCAGAGGCTGGGGTTACAAACCTATGCCAAGCAGGCCCAGCTCAAGACTTAATCTCTTCCCAGGTCTCTCCCTCCTGGCAGATGTTAGGCTTCTGTTTCAAAAGTGCCATTAACTCCCCTGTCTTCATGCTCTCTTGACTCTTTTCAGGATTTCACACAAGTTGTTTGAAAAGTAGGACCACCCTAAAACCACTAGACCCCAGACCCCATAAAAATGGAACTGTCCATATGCTGAGCTTCCCATAGGCTGAAAATAGTCCACTACAGTTTTGAAGTCCCAGACTGAAAAGAAGCTCTTCTGATTTGTCTTAATTTACCATGGCCCTCAGAGATTCATCAGTGACTCATCTACCAGCTGTGCCTTTTGGTCTGGAAATTCCAACATCAAAACCTGTTTCCTGTCACCTCTGTCCTTGCCCCCAAGTGAATTTTGTTATCCAAAAACAGTGACAAAGTTCCTAGTCTGTGCTTAATTCCTCAATCACCCCATGCCCTTTAACTGGATATGTACACGTTGTTTAGTTTTGTGGATGCAGGAATATCCTAAAATAAATAGTCATTTCCCTCCAGGGAGAAGCTCACAAACCAATGAGGAAGGTGAATAAGTGAATTTGCAAACTAATTGTTGAGGAAAAGAACTAGTCCTGTGAGACAGTTTAATAAAGGAAGTGGCTTCGAACTGACAGGTCGTGAGATTTGGGAGCATTCTGATGAACAGCCAATGGCCTGGTAAGGAAACTGTTCCTACAAAGTCCTCCCTCAAGGCCTCCAGATCTTAGACAAGGATGGGACAAAAGGAAGGCTTCCCAGTGCATCACAGTAAGGTCCTGGGTTAGCCCTGCCGTCCCACAGACACAGTCACAGAACAGGGACTCCTCACACTCTTCAACAGGAGCTCCTTTCTCCACTCAACCCACATGGATTTCCAGAAATTCTTGACCCCCGCTTGGCTGCAGAACCTAGGTTAGCACCCCGGTGAGTGTGAGCTAGATTAGCACCCAGGTGAGTGTGAGCTAGCTTAACACCCAAGTGAGTGTGAGCTAGGTCAACACCCAGGTGAGTGTGAGCTAGGTCAGCCCCCCGGTGAGTGTGAGCTAGGTTAGCACCAGGTGAGTGTGAGCTAGGTCAGCACCCAGGTGAGTGTGAGCTAGGTCAGTACCCAGATGAGTGTGAGCTAGGTCAGCCCCCAGGTGAGTGTGAGCTAGGTTAGCACCAGGTAAGTGTGAGCTAGGTTAGCACCCAGATGAGTGTGAGCTGTGTTAAAGCTGTGCTTCCTGTGTTCCTGGAGCCTCCACATCTAGTGTCTTAGCTCCTGGAGAGGAAGCAGCTCCCTTGGTCTCTTTTTCATTCCCAAGCCTTTGACAGCTTGTAACCACTTGTTTGTTTACAGAGGGGGACTTTATTTCAGCACATTGTAGTGTCAAATACTGATCTGATGTGGAGGAAGAGCTAAATCAGAGGTAACAAATATGCTTTAGAACTGCCAAGATTAGATGAAAATGGCAGGAAGAAGGCTTCATTAGAAGTGTCCCTCAAACCAAGATGGCAAACAGGGCTTTGATACCTAGGACCACAGTGACTTAGGATACCATAATCTACAAAAATCACATGCCCCTTAACATACATGTCCACAAACCTGTTGCCAATGGAAACATTGTAAGTCAAAATGCAATGCATATACCTAGTCTGCCCAATATCATTATGTGGCCACAGAGTCCACCACAGTCTGTCAGTGTGACTGTGTGGCTTCCTGGAACAGGAGATGTAACAAGATAACAGGCTATGTATAAAATACAACGGGGGAAATCAGCATCCATCACTACTTTCATGAGATGCAACCCTTCGATCTCCATCTGCTTCCCATCCATGCTTCTTGGCAGAGGGAGGGTAAAGCATCTCAGATTCCTTCTGGAATCACCTTTCTTAGGTTTGGTCTAGACAGTGTATCATCAAGGTGCCCATCTTTCCTCTCTTGAACAGACACTAGGTCACTCAGATGTAAGAACCGGGATGAAAGTGTGAGAAGCTGGTCACCCAGATGTGGGATACAGATACGGCTGTCCACATCTTCTACCATGACTAACTGGCTCCCAAGTCAGATCCTGCCAGATACAACAAAGAACCCTGCCCTTCACTGTTAGTCCTAGATCTGAGGCTCCCAATCTGGAGTCCATAGACTTGGAAATGAGCCATGGATGGGTAAAAGGGGTCAGCAGACATGTAATTGAATATGTATAAAACTACTATTTTTTTCTTACGAGATGGTACCCAATTCTCAAAGCTGTCTGCATCCATTGCTTTTCCCACTGCTATAACAAAATGCCCCACAAAAGCAATGATAAGGAAGGAAGTGTTTATCCTGGTTGAATTTTGAGGGGTCATTCCATCATGGTAGAGAGGTCAAAAAGATGGGAGCATGAGATGGCTGGTCACATCTTGTCAATTCAGGAAGAAGAAAGAGCTATGCTTCTGGTCTCCTTGCTATCTGCTTTTATTGAGTGAAATCCCAGCCCATAGGGTGGTGGTGTTGTCCACTGTTAGGGTGGCCTTTTCCCACCTCAGTCCAACCTAGAAACCCCCCTCACAGGCATGCCCTGTGGCTTATCTCCTAGGTGATTCTAGAGTCTGTCCTTCGACAGACAAAAGTAATCAGTACAGGTCCATAGCTGAAACAGTTTAGAAACCAGCCATCAATCTCAGAGAAACTTTTTATCACCCAGGGTCTGTAGAGGAATTCGTATGGAAATATTTTGCTTGTGTTGATTTTCACCATGCTCTTTTCAGTATAAAGGTAGGCAGCACTCCAGAGTCATGAGCAATCCCTGTAACTTTGCTACTATAGAAATCAGATATTTTTACATCATAGTGTTACAGAGATCTTGAAACATAATATATGCCTCTCAGTACTTTAAAATTATAGCATTATTAAATCCATAGTAGATGATCTTATTCAGCATGTTAATGAAGTGTACAAATCAATATTTTATAACTGTATCTCGATATAATTGGCTTTTTTGCGTCCATATGCTTTATCTTTTTTGAAAATAGTATCCTGAGAAGAGATCTAAGCTCCATCATGCTGCTGATGCACCCACGACACACAGAGGCCAGAAGACTCTTTAGGGAAAACTCCAATGAGATTCTCCTTCTCCAACTCATCTTGATTCTGCACCAGCCTAACATGGTCACTCCCAGCATTTCATTTCCACTTCTGAATTCAGCCCAAGAAGCACACATTGCCTAGGAACTGAAGAAGGAACATACGTGAACCATGGGACAGAAACAAAATGAGAAGGAAGAGGGGGAGAAGAAAGAGTACAGGCAGGGAGGGAGGGAGCAGATTGGTGATTTTAAGTGTGGTTGGAGGGGCACATGGGGGAATCAGCCTCTCTGGGACACAGGGCTTCCTTTGCGTTGGTGACTATTATATAACTAGACAGAGGTGACACAGCACTGCACATGTTCTAAATGTCACCAAATTGTACATTGCAAAGGGTTCATTTTAATGTGAGAATTCAAGTAAGATATAAAATGCAATAATACGCCAAATAATAGAAAACTCCATAACCACCCATGCTGTGAATTATTTGAGGTCCCCACTTGGAAAAATAAAGGGAAAATACTCCAAGGTTTAGAACATGTTTCTCTCACACACACCCCTCGCCCGCCCTCCCCACCTCGTTAGTGCCTACTGAAGTTTCAGATTGTTTGTGAAATTGCTAATGTGTACTTTAGCCTCCACATTAAATTCTGGTTTGTACTTAAGCATATTAAAACACACCACTAAATACTCACCTGACAATCTGTATTTTAATCCTCAAACTAGGCTATCTTGTGCCAGGATGCATTTCTAACGCACCTGTTACATTTCTCCTGCGTTTAAGAATAGCTGGCAGTGGAGCCTGGAGAGGGACTAGGGGCCATCGCTCATTCCTGCCCACTCCTGCCCTGTTCAGTGTCTAGGGTTGTGAGCTGGAGGAAGAGGGGCACCACACGGTGGTGGAGACCTTAAGTCTCTCGGTCCTTGTCCTGCTTTAAAGGGCTCTCCTCTATTTGCTCCGCGCGACTGCTGGATTAGACTCATTCCAAGAGCTGTACTGGCTGTCACTCATGCCGCTCCATGCCAGCCCGTGGCTCTTGGCTGCTGTTTTTTTCAACCATGTATAAGCATGACATCACGCAGCTGTCTGGCCATGTGTTGGCCATAGAGAGAGTTTTAGAAAGAAACCTGAAGCACCATTTTATCTCGCTCCCTCGTGTAGGACCTGGGAGATTACCTCTCACTCTAAAATTCACTCCACATCCTCGGCCTCAGAGTCCAGCCTCAACCAGAGTGCCCCAGTAGAATGCATTCACTTCTTCAAGCTCCTCCTCTTCCTGGCAGCCCTGCTCCGCCTCACCTTCTCAAGCTCTTCCTCTTCCTGGCTGCCCTGCTTCACCTCTGTGTCACATCAGTACAATAAATACATCATAAGTTATTTCACATGAAGATTTATGCCACATGTTCTACAAACACTGGAAAGACAGGCATGCCTTACCCTCAGGTCTATCTTAAAAATAAAGATTTTTCCAGCTTTTTTATCCTTTATCCCAGTTGTTTCACGGCATACACTCATACTATATAAAACTTGTGAAAAAAATTACACCTGTCACTCCTGAATCTCAATAATTTCAAAACTTTATTCTTAAATGTAAATTTTTAAATGTTCTATTACTGAAAATCTCCTCCACGTTGTCATGAAACGCTACAAAGAAAATAAGTTTGAAGACTTGTTTCAATTCTTTAGCAAGAATTCCTTTCTAAAGACACAAGGGCAGACCAGCTCCTGCCACAATTTAACTGTTAACGCAGGAACACTGACCCCAGGGCTCAGGGACCACCCCGCTACCTTCTCTGAGCCTCAGTTTCCCCAGCTGGGACATCCATTCTTTCAAGCAGCACTTGCTGTGGGCCATGGTGGGACAGGCACTGCAAGGCTCTGGTTACGGTAAGAACAGCATCTTCCACTGTCAGAAACACACGGCCTGTCAAGGAACTAGCAACACAGTCCTCACCATGCCAGGGACTGATCTTGAACTTTGCATGCATCAGCTCATCAGGCCCAGTTCACACAGTCTGGACTAGTGTCTGCCCTAAATCCATAGTTTGAATACTAATCCACAAGATGATACCAGGCACTGGGGCCTTGGAAAGGTGATAGTGGCATAAGGGCTTGCAAAGTCATCGCTGTCTGTACTTAGGGCCCTATAGAGCAACAGTTCTTAGCCTGTGGGTTGTGATCCTTTTGTGGGTCTTAGATCAGATATTCTGCATTCAGACATTTGCATTACAATACATAACACTAGCAAAATTACAGTTATGAAGTAGCAAAGAAATAATTTCATTGTTGGGAACGACATTAGGAAGGTTGAAAATGACTGTTATAAAGAATAGACAGAATGATGAAGTGGGATTTAGTGGATTGGCTTACACAGTATAGACTAGGAAGCTCACCAATGGCTGCCTGCACACTGAAAGTGCTGAGTCCAGAACTGTCTAGTCCATAAAACTAGATGCCTCGGTAATCCCAATCTGGTACAGAAGGCCTGAAGAATTCTTCCAGAACCACTGGTCTACAGTCAGTATCAGAAGGCCAAGGAAGAAGGATGCAGATGTCAGCGGAGCGGGGCAATGGTGCCAGCAGCACCAACAGTCACACTCAGGAGCAGAAAGTAAAGGCAGGTAGGGAAGCCTGGCTTTATTTCCCTTGGACTTCTTTATAACAGGACAGCTGCCAGAAAGATGCTCCCAACTCTCAGGAGGGTCCTCTCCCCTCAGTTAATCTTTCATGGATATATCTCACAGACTCCCCTGAGAGGTGTATCTTTTAGTTGGTTCCCGACCCACAAGCTTCACATTCAAGATGAACCATCATGTTGTAAGAAACACAGAGATCCACCACACTCAGCCCTAAATGAGATCCCTTCATCAAGCTCCTCCCCTAAAGGCACAGGGATCGATGCAGAAGGGGAGGTAGAAAGATTATGAGAGACAGGGGTGGTGAACAACTCCAAGGAAACAGAGCTTCCAGAGACAGCAAGACTGACACACATGAACTCACAGAGACTGCAGCAGCATGTGTAAGACCTGCACAGGTGCAAGCCAGGCAAGATCCCAATGCTGAGGAGGAATGGACATAGTCCTACTGCTAAACCAGAAGCTATATGCAATGGTTGCACACTGGGAAAGGAAAAACTAGGTCCTCCAGTGGAGTGGTACTAGGCATATCTACCACATCCCAGGGCCAGAAGTAGGTGGACAACACAGAAAAGATTCCATGTGGTTTTGTGTGTGTTTATTTTGTTTTCCTATATTTTGTCTCACTGGGGTTTTGTTGGTTGGTTGATTTTGGATTTCATTTTTTGTTTTGAGGGTCTTTTTTTTTTCAGAGAGAGAGAGAGAGAATGAATGAATGAATGAATGAGAATGAATGAAGTCAGGTGGGCAGGGAGGTGAGGAGGATCTGGCAAAAGGTGAAGGAGAGCCTACCACCATGGAGTCTCACGCTCCTTGCTGTGACTGTATCCCCTCAAACTCTGAGCCAGCATAAATCCCTCCTTCCTGAAGTCATCCTCATCAGGTATCTGGTCACAGTGATGAGAAACATAACTACTGCACATGGCTGATCATAAGCAGACCTCGGCAGCTTACTGTGGAGTCCACACCACTAACACCACAGGACTGCCTTCCCATATGTATTTACATGCTGCACCTCGAGACTAGAATCTAGAGAGGAGCCATTAATTTTGTTTGAACAAAGTCATAGGGGACCTCAGATGTGAGTCTGTATCTCAAATAAAAGCATAAGGAGAATTTTACCTGGCAGGAACGGGAGCAAGGAGCAGCCAATGCAGCAGCAAGGGCAATCATCTGAAGGTTTCCAGAGCCTGGAACCTTGAAGAAACTGCTGGGCAAACGAGCGAGGCCATGGAAGTTACAGTAAGGACTATGGACCAAGGCCTCCTCCTGTTAACTCTGTGATTCTAATGTTTCATGGAAGCAGCTACTGTTTGTCCATATGCAAGCAATCACACCAAGGCAACTTTTCTTATCACTGGTGCATGCACATATCTTAGCAAATCCTTAGAAAGCAGGCCTGTTAAATGACAGATATTGGTACAGGCATGTGATCATTACTTAGAAGAAATGTCAGAGCTTTCAAAAGACATAGCATGTGTTAAGATTCCTCAGATGCATCTCACCAAATGCATACTAAGCACTTGTATTGTACACACACAACTGGCTGGTAATACTGCAGTGAACACGACAGGAGAACCACTGTTGCAGAGCCTACAACATGTTCCATTTACAGAGAGAGAGAGAGAGAGAGAGAGAGAGAGAGAGAGAGAGAGAGAGAGAAGAGAAGAGAAGAGAAGAGAAGAGAAGAGAAGAGAAGAGAAGAGAAGAGAAGAGAAGAGAAGAGAAGAGAAGAGAAGAGAAGAGAAGAGAGACAGTAGGGAAGGGTAAACCCGACCATGAAAGGCCTCCATGAGTTCTCATCAGCAGGAAGTCAGTCCCAGCCTAGGACGTCATGATTGGAGGGAAGGGTCAAATTTACCTGTCAAGGACAGCCACCCAAAAAGATGACATTGTTACCAAGAGATGAGCAGTGGGATCTGGTTGTCAGTGGGGCTGAGGACAAATGTCTGTGACCAGCCAATGCAAGGCTCAGGTGGAGAAAGAGCTCCCTGTGCTACTATGTTGATGAAAAAGGAGGTGACGGGCCTGTCATAAGATTAAATAAGAGGAGACATGTAAGATGCTTAGTGGAAGCTCACCACAGGCCACCTGTCCATCATCACCATCCTTGTCACCATCACCATTGCCACACCAGTTCAGTGAGCTAGGAGACAGGTCATGTCAATCACTACAGCCCAGATGAGAGACTGAGATTTAATGGAAAAGCAATTGCAAGTTACTCCTGAGCTTTGTCTGGTTTTCTGTGTTAAAACATTGTAGCACTGAGAGCTTAGGGCTGGGGCTGAGGACTTGGGAATATGAGTTAAGAGGCTGCTGTAATAGTTCAGACAGAAACTCAGCATAAAAACCTTTAACACCTGTCTCTTACTTTGATCTGAAGACAGTTTTCAAAAATGAACTCGTATGTATCTTTCAGTGTGCTACATATTTTTGACAGAATATGCTTATATACCTTCTGATGTAATATTTCATTGTGGGTTAAAGTATGTTGTTACTCAAGAGTTGTGGGACTGTAGCACACGCGTGGGCATGGGTTCTGTTGGGCTGAGTTGGTGGGTCTTGCGTATTTGCCGCCCCAAGGGGCTAGGGCTGTGGCTCAGAGGGCTGAAGCACTCCACGTGGTGGGCTGTGAGAAGCCGTGTGACTCGCTCCAGGTGTGGGGAGAACACAGTCTGAGGTCCCGTGTTGGCGGAGCTCTTAGGTCGGAGGTCCCAACCCTTGGGCTGGACTGAACTGCAACCAACAGGATGCAGCGCCCAGTGGGGTAGATGAGGCTCTGGGTTGAGGCGACTCGCTTAGCTGGGTCGTGTCTGGGTCCCTGTGACTGGACTTCGAAGAGATCCTCGGTGGGAGATTAGCTCCCACCTGGTGGGCTCAGTAGCTCAAGACCTTCTCCAAGGCTGCCTACAGCAGGCCCCAATGACAAGAGGTAGTCCAGATCTTAAAACGTTTATTGTCGTGGTGGAAAATGGATGAAGCTGTATCCCGTGTTCTCAGGGCGGGCCTGAGGTTAAATACCCTTTGTAAGTAGGAGGAGGGTCTGGGAAGGAATGCTTAATTGG